TTGTGGGCCGTGTGCCATGGTTGGTTTAGTACTGGCCCTCCGGTTTCATACCGCGAGTGACCTGGGTTCATCTCCTGGTCAGGGAGGGTTGTAATTTATTGATGTCAATGCGGCATTGCATTATTCCATCTTTCATATATATATATATATATATATATATATATATATATATATATATATATATGTATGTATACACACACACACACACACACATACACACACACACACACACACACACACACACACACACACACACACACACACACACTCTCTCTCTCTCTCTCTCTCTCTTTCTTTCTCTCACTCTTTCTCTACACACACACACACACACACACACACACGCACACACACATAGATATGCATGTATATATATCTATATATCTATATCTTTATCTATCTATCTTCTTCTGTAGCTTTGTCCATTCTTACTTGGGGTTTGACAAATATTTTTATGGCCGGATGCCCTTCCAGACGCCAACCCTCTCCACTTATCCGGCACTGACTTGGACTGGTTTGTCCACCCAGCCACGTGGTATATTGGTCTAATGGCTTACAGGAATCGTGATAATGTGCATGCTATAATATGCACACGCACATATATTATAGTATGTGTATTTGCATTTCTGTCAGCCATTAGACCAATAGACCACGTGGATGTTTGCCACGTAGCAACCATCACAACAGTGAGAACTTAGATGACCATTATCTGACCTCGTGTGACCCTTCAGTTCGCTCCCAGCTCCCAGCACTTTGCCCCAACACATAGCGTGTTGTCACTTACATGCGTTGTGAATCGTACGTACGTTGACTACCATTGCTGTTCATCGACAGCCTCTTACAAACTGGTTGCAGAGGTGGTCGTTGCGTCCTTTTGGCTCGCAACATGGACACACAATCTCCGAAATCCACTCGACCAACAATTCCACGATACGACCATGCCTTCAAAACCACGTGAGTACACGTTTTGGTCCGCTTTATTTATTTTCCCTCCCTTCTCCTAAAATTGTGTTAAGCCGTACGTACAGTCGCTCCCACGTTGGTTTGTGACAGGAAATGGTAGCGTTCTTACACTATTCTTCTGACCTTAGATCACATTAATGTGTGGTCACGGTATTTGTCAAGAAACACGAAATATCGTTCATTAATTTAGTATTTCACTCGTTATTAGAGATTTTTATTGTTTTAACTACAACGAATTTAACGCGTCCGTAATTTTCTATCGTTATCATGGACATCATATCATTTTGTCAATTCTCTTTCCCTGCCAGTCGGTTGGTTACGTGGAAGGGCCAAGAGATGATCGCTCGTTTTTCCTGTAATTTAGTTGTTGTTAACACCATGGGGATAATCGTAGCATCGTTACATTGCTTATTGGTGACACGTTCTATCGGCGCTTGAGCGGAGCTTGTAATGAAGTGAACTGAACGAGACGGGAAAATCTATAAATAACCCAATCTCCTCTGCATATCTGTGATGGACACTCGTGACATTCCCTACGGGTATCTAACTATCAACGAATCACACGATCGCTTGGGATTTATCCAAAACATGCAAGCGACTACTAGAGAGTGAAAAGGGCGTAATTAATAAGCGTATAACAATTCTAGCTTAAACCCTAGTCATACATTAATGAACGGAAAAACTTCGGTTTTACTGTACCTACTATCGTAACGTCGGAGCGTTGATCTATTAGGCAATTTATGCAACCCCGAGTTATACTGGGCACTATGATATGGGGAAGATCCTAATGCTATAATCAAAATAATAAATTTATATAAAAAAACGCATTACAAGCTCTGCTCTAGCGCCGATAGAACAATGTAACAAAGCTACGCGTATTCCTATTCCAAACAATTACAAACAAGAGCGAACTATCTCTCAAACCTTCTCACGTGCCTACCGACCGGAAGTGAGGGAAAGTGAGGTCGTTTCAAGACGGGAAATGCGCTATAGGAATATAAATAAATGATATGATATTCGTGATAAAGATAAAATCACAAACGCGTTAAATTCGTTGTAGTTGAAACAGTATAAATCGTTAATAACGAGAGAAATTAATTAATTACTTGATTAATGAACGATATTCCCGTGTATTGAACATATACAGTGATCACACAGTAATGTGATCTAAGGTAAGAAGAATGATATGAGAACGCTGCAATATCCTGTCACTTAGCACTTTTACCCAACAAAACAAAAGTGGGAGTGACTGCACATACGGCTTAACACATTTTATGGAATAAGAAGGGAAGGAAAATAAATTAAAAGGCCCAAAACGTGCACTCACGTGGTTATGAAGACATGGTCTTATCGTAGAAGCGTTGGTCGAGCGGATTTCGGAGACTGTGTATTCGTGTTGGGAGCTAAAAGAACGCAACAGCCACCCTGCCACTAGTTTGTAAAAGGCACAGAACCTTAGTACAATGGCTATGACTGGTTGGGCAGTAATAGCGGTTAAAACGGCTTGACTCTTTATTAAGGAAGAGTACTACACAGTGAG